ACCCTTGGTAAATTTCTGAGTGATTGCGTCTTTTTTAAAAAATAAGTTTTTACCACCATAAACAACTAGGGCACACCGGAAGTCACTTGTTTGGCTGCCGTTCTCATCTTGGGAAGCTTTGCTTTATAGCTGTGTTTAACACTTAGCATCTGGAACCACTGACTGGGCATTTGATACTCACTCAGACCATCAGTTTTATGTAAATTTTGGGAAGGTCTCATTGCAAATTTTAAAATAATAAATATAAGCCATAATTTAAAAAAATTAATAACAAGTTTCTCTTTAGCCACCTGGATGGGTAGTGTGAGCCACAGATGAGGGTTCACACACAGCTAGTTCCTTTTCCCCGTTGTAATTTTTTTAAAAAATTAAAAGATGTTAACAACCTTAGTTCTTTGGAAATGAGACCATGTAACTAGAACTTCTGTCACATAGTTCTGGACCTCTAGACAATCTATGGATCCAGAATTTCTGATGATTTCACTGGAGTCTGCTTTTAGCACTAAATCAGATGGTAAGCCAACAAGTACATTATGCTATAAAGCTGCAAGGCTGGGTGTTTCAATTTAGAAAATGGAAGTAAACAAATTCTTATCAGCTCTTTGGTGAAATTTGGATTGAAAATATCTCCTCAGGTTTTTGAGTTGAAATATGATTTTTATTTTCCTCCAACTAGTAAAATCATAAGAGGCTGGAAAGAGCCAAATCTGTCCTAAGGTACATTTGTCATATACACTAGAATTCAGTCAGCCCAAAATCCCAGTGTTGTATTCTTATCTTCAAAATATTTTGGCACCAACGTGATAGGTTATCTACTCAAAATATTAAACATATCTCTAAGACATGGCCCTTGAGCAAGCCCCCTAAAATCATAGAAATGGTCTTTATTAGTATTATTAGTTTCACAAAATGTTTTAAATCTTACTCTTCATTTCCTGCATATTTCATGATCGAAATAAAATCTTTTACTTGCTATTGCACTGTATGACCATGGAAAAGTGCACAGTTAGTATCCTTGATTTGAGGAGATCTACAATTTTCACTTTCTGTCAATGCTAAGTCAAAAATGAGAGGTTTACTGTTGTATGTGAATGTTGTCTCCGAGCAGGGCAAACCTTTCTTGCTAAGTGCTCAGACACTACTGATTCCTACATGCCTTTTGCAGTCTAAATCCCTGCTCACAACTAAATGAAAAAACTCTTCTATAGCACAGGTTTTTAGTGATAACTGGAAAAAAATTGTCAAGCATATTTTTCTCATATGTGTACTGTATTTATGGCAAACACTGATATCTGCATTGCACATTTGTGATTAAAGCAAAATACCTGTCAGCACACTTTATAGTGATGTGCATAGAGTTAGTTAATAAGCGAATTTTGCAAATAACTTATAACTTATTCTATTTTCTCTCTAAGCATACCTTGCCATAGGTGCTTCAGCAATAGCATGACATATTGTTTCAAAAACATTTTTGCTATAAGAAGTGCAACTTTAAATGATTTCTATAGTTTAGATCTCAATTTCACCTTTACTCAGTTCTATACTGAGAAGCATTATTTTGCATTTTGTTCACATATTTTTCTGGGAAAAAGTCAATAGACTTATCAGAGAGACAGATTATTTCTCTAGACTGAAAGATTATAAAAAAATGCTTCCAAGGCTTCACCACATTTGTTGGGTAGTGAAGACATTCTTCAACAGCAAACTCACAGCCTTATAGTTATTTTATCACATTACTTTTCAAAGGAGTTTGGTATAACATGACCTCATCTTGTTGACACAGTATATACTATGTTTAACTTCCAGTTTAGCTGCTGCCAACTCCATAGCATCCAAATAATTGTCTTTACTCACAAGGTTTATGATATTTCAAGTTCAAGTTAGGGAGGAAAATTTAACATCAAACCCTAAAATGCAATAATGATAACAAACCATGATTCCAAAATATCTTTTCAAATAAGAACTTACATATTACTACTAAGCATCACTTCTGTGAGTTCAAAAAGCATAAAACATCAACTCAATTTCCCTAGTAGAAGTGCTCATTAGTCTAGAAATAAATCTCCAGAACTGAACAAAGGTAGTTTTCAGTCTCCTCTTCAATACTTTAGCTTGTGCTGGTAAGTAGATGAGAATCAGTTCTACATGGGGCAAAATTTGGCTCTTCTCACAGTGGAAAATGAACATCACAAATAGCACCCTTTGATATCTGGGTTATTAGATGATTTTTTTTTCCTGAAAACTATGAAAATATTTTTCACATATGAATCAAGAATTATGTTTTAAAATCACCAAATAACCCACTTTCCATCAGTTTCCACTTAAGATCTACAAGTTCTTCACCAAAAACTTACAAAGAACTATAAAAGGGAGTAAAGTAGTCGTAGGAATGACAATACCATTGAGGGTTTTTTTTAATTGAAGGGATTTAAATTACATTATATGTTAATTCTTCCATCTTAAAAAAAAATGAATTATCTCATGTTGGAAAAAGTCTCTTTTTTACCCCTATTCTCCTTCGTCTACCATCTCTTCTCCTTTTGACATCCCAAAATTAATGTATCCGAACCCAAACAAGTATTTTTCCCTGATGATTCTGCTCCATTCAGTCTTCTATGCCTCAGCTGTAAAAGGAAAATAAATCTTGGGGCCCCAAAATCACTAAACTAAAGATAAAAGTCAGGCTGGGAACTGCTAAGGGCAAACCTGCCTCCCATTCTATTTAAAGTGACCCCTGTGCTCACTGGGATAAATGCATATCTCATTGCTTCATTTGGAAAAGCTAATCAGAAACTCAAAGGAATGTCTCTTATCTACCTATGACCTGGAAGCCCCCTCCTCGCTTTGAGTTTTTTCATCTTGGCCTTGAGTTGTCCCACTCTTCCAGACTGAACCCACGTACATCTTACACATATTAATTGATGTCTCATGTCTCCCTAAAATGTATAAAGCCAAGCTGTGCCCCTACTACCTTGGGCACATGTTATGTCATCAGGACCTCCTGAGGCTGTGTCATGGGTGCACATCCATGATCTTGGCAAAATAAACTTTCTAAATTAACTGAGAACTGTCTCAGATTTTCAGGGTTCACAGTCAATAGCAACTCTACCCCTTTTGCTCAGACAATTGGATCATTAAACTCATCCTGTACTCCTTTCTGGTTGTCTACCCTACATAATGTCTGTAAAGACATCCCACTGGCTTCACCTTCAAATTGTTTTCAGAAGCAGACCTATTTCTTACCACTTCATCATCATCCCCGATCTCTTTCTCGCCTGAGTATCTACGGC